TGATCGATAGACGAACAACACTGAGGAGTTTCCAATGAAGCCAACAACCATCAAGGCGGCTAAAAGACAGACGACCGGCAGCAACGACTTTGACATTTCCTCATTGAGTTGAAACAAATTCCTGTTTTGTTCCGTCACGTTTGAAGCATTGATCCTGCCAATAGTCATGTCTTCTCGGTTATACTTTCGAGGTCATTTACACACCAAATCGATTTACTATCGTATGATATAAAGAATTTAGATTCAGCTCTTTTCAAGGTAAAACGAATACGAGTTCACGTTTGCTTCAACAGTAATGCGACACCTTGATTACTTAGAAAAAATGTATTAATATCAACGCTTTTAAATGGTTCTATCTCAGTCTTCAGTCTTCAAAGGTTTGCTTTTCACTGATGTTATCTTGTCATGAAATGATACCTCATAAAATATCTCTTAAAGTCGTTGGCTCTAATAGTTGTCAAATATCAAATTGAATCAGATGTCATGGTGACCAACATCGCGCTTCCATTAACCACACCGATAGCCCTGTAGGAATACAAACATGGACACATGCATTGTCTGATTGAACCAACGTTGCGTATGATGTATTCAACAACCAATACCGTGAATTATCGTAGAATCCTAATAGATAGAAAAACATTTGATACTTTAGTTTGGATTGTAAAGTTAATATTCCCACATGTCAGTCCGGCTCATCATACAAATATGAATATTCAAGGAGAATTATATGGAACAAAGAGACATTGTTGTGAAATATGCTAGAAATAGTATTTGACCTAATTCAAAACATAAGAGCAAGCACTAAGCTTGTGTCTCAGCAATTCTAGTATTTGAGACATCAACTGCATGTTTTAATCATAGTTTTGTGGGTGATATGGAAAGGTGTGGGATGGGCTTTTATCTAGACAAAAAAAAAATAAGTGAGAAGGAGCAAGATATTTTGATTAAATCTCATTTATTCAAGATGGCATATATATATACAAACATATACATGTGAGTGGGTGTGTGCGTGCGTGTGTGGTTGTGTATTTGTTCTAATTTCACATATACAGTTTATAATATATATATATATATATATATATATATATATATATATATATATATATATATATATATATATATATATATATAGTCCATAAACTTTGTCAAATGCATGCATATGAGGTTGTTGTAGTTGGGTTGGGGTGGTACAAATGTTTGATTTAAACTATTATAGAAGTCCCACTCAGTCTCTGTTTTGTTGGAAGTTAAATTTAGTGAAAGATTGATGTAATGCACTGAGTCCCCAGTCAGCAATGGCGACGGTTAGATAGTTAAATGTACAAAACAGTTTGAAATTCAATGAATAACAATTTGATAACAATTAAATAATCAAATGACTCAAATTAACAATTACACTCCTGCCGCTAGACCCTTTAATAAACATATTGCATCACTTGATTAGCGGTGTGAGATTGATTTCCACCTATCCTTGTATTTCTACTCAACTCGTGTATCCTTCCTCTCTCATATTTACCCCAATTCCTTCTCCTCTTCGTCCTCGACTTTTCTCCAAATTCCTTCTCCTCCTCCTCGGCTTTCTCTATACTCTTTATCCTGCTCGACTTTCTCAAGACTCATTTTCATTTTCCTCCATTTTAACTACTTCGATTACTCCTCAGTTGCCTTCTACTGTCTCGGCTACAGCCTCAATTCCGTCTTCAACTCTTGAAGACTCAGACCCCAATATAACCCAAACTTGTGTGTCCCCTAAAAAGCTACCTTTCGAAACTTTTTCTTTGCTTAGAATCTGCCTCTACGTTTTGCCGCCAAATTACGAGTGGCTTCTCGGAATAAACTCTATTGACCCACGGTCCTTTCAGGCGAATACTTAATTTCTCTTACAAGTTCTGAAAGTTATCATTCGGATCGGAATTGTAATCACACCTTCTATCTCAATTCCGATTGGATATCGATGTGAACAGATCCAATCAAACTTAGTGGACAATGTCCCTCTCGCTGTCTTTCAACGTGAGGACGGATGAGAACACACTACTCTCACCCCTAGACTTCCTTTTTATCTTTGGACTAAGCTTAAACACATGAGGGTGATAACTACAAGCCTTTTGCTGAATCAAGTTTCTGGTCTTCGGTTGGTCATGTAACCTTTACGTAAGAGATTAACACTAGTCTCCGCGGCAATCTTTAAACGTCAAGCACATATCTGCGGTAACATTGACAAGACTTTATAGCTGGGGCTTAGCAAACATCACAATGTACAGGTATTGTTTTTTGGGAGAATACGTATAACACAACAGCGTATTAGAATAACGTCTTCACATCAATAATAAAAATACAACATCAAATGTATATACTGAGGTGTTTCGATAATAACATATATTACAGTGAAGAACAAAAATGGTAACGCAAAGAATAAAAGAATGGAGATGACTGAAAAGGTTGTGAGTTGTATCAGCTACTTAAATCAGTTAGTCATCCAAACGAAATGTTGTACATGCAACCTTATTTCCGTGTTATTCTCGGTAAAGAACATAGTAGCCGATTCTGCTACGAAATAAAATGTTTAGCTTGTCTTTTATTTCAGATTGTATAAATATGTTAATTTTATATAAATTTCCTGAATAGAGATATCTATTTAAAGTTTGGATAGTACGTCATCACACTTACAAAATTAAAGCAAAACGTATGCTGGACCCGGTAGTATTTAATACAACATAATTCTGCTCCGTGATCGGTACGAGTATTAGACGCTAACGCTTATTTACTGCAGGGCATAATCTGGTGAAATCGGTCACTTCCGCCTGATGAATTTATGTAGAAAGATTTTGTGACCGTCATGGTGAAAATAAAGGTTAATTCGCCGACTTAGATTCATGCGATGGTTGTCCCAGAGTTATGCGTTGACACGTTACTGTCTTTTGAATGGTTGTGTTTAGCTTCAGTCGTCTTGCAAATTTGATACGATGACAAAAGTCGAATCAAGCGGATGGCTGCGGTCCCGCCTGCACACCTTGTGTTAATTTATAGTGACCGTAAGGTAATTTCGTTTTGTCATAGATTTCATCGTACTTTACTGATAAAATGTCAGACTCCTGTACTTCGATGATTCTAAATTCTTCGTCATTACGCAGTTGTGTCGATGGCAATGGATGCCTTAACCTTCTGTTTGCTGTATATTTGCAACTCATTATAATAACATCTATATACTTTGACTTCTGTTCTTTGGATCGGGAGCAAACTGTTTATAGATGAGAATTAATCCGAAGATAACCTAAAGTGACTGATATGCACAAATGCCTGTATCATTTTGTTTTCTTTTAAATAATGTCGAAAAAGTAAGAAGTAGCAACCGCATCAAGAGCAAAGCCTTAGGCATTCTATACACTTTACAGATTTCAATCCTAAACCATATGGAAATGAAATTAAAAATAGTGAAATTATCAATGAGTAATTCCCAGCAAATAATCATCTGAATAAATAAATCCATCCTAATGAAAGACTGAACACAGCAATAGACCCCGTTTTTTTTCAGGATATGAAGACACAAAAATAGAAACAGGACGAGGGTAAAAAAAACAATACTTCCAGAATATTCTAAGATGTCAACGAGATAAGGTCTATTACTAAAATTATTATTTAAAAAAAAACATAGCTATCATCATGTACACCAGCTTTTTCCTTGGTGGAATACTAATATCGTAGACTCAGATTAAGATAAACATGTTTACGTGTCTATCTTATCTGAGTCAAGGACACGTTTACCCCGTTGATAATGATCTTAATATTTAATATTTACTCGCATAGAAATATTAGCCATGTAATATATTCTTTACAAAATCAATGTTCCTAGGCAGGATCACGGTGAACTTTGATTTTGGACTAATATCAATTACAAAATATAACTACACATTATATATAATCATGGAGAAAAAGCAACAGCATAGTGTTAGTACCTTACGCAAGGTTATCGTGACCGCTAGTCAGGCCAGCTAGACAAACTAGATCTCTACCAACTAGACAAAGTCTTGCAATATTTACAGAGATTAAAGAAAGCCTTAGAATAAACAAGGTGTGTTCTCATCCTTTCCCACGTTGACAGACGGCGAGGGACAATGGCCGTTAAGTTAAGATTGGATCGGTACATCCAATCGGAATTAAAATAGAGGGTGTGATTACAATTCCGATCCGAATAACTTTCTAAACTATTAAGAAAAACTTTGTGTTCGCCTAACAGGAATGTGAGTCAATAGGGTTTATTCTTATTTATAATTTCGTACCTCGCAAGCAAAGAGTTAGTTTCTCCTCTGAAGATTTATGAAGAAATAGGGTAACTTCAAGAAACCACTTGTAATATTTCGGTAAATTCTAAGGGAAGAAAAGGTCAGTAAGGTATTTGCTCGATTTTTTCAGAATATTACAGCATCATAACTGCAATTATTTGTTTGGGATCGTTTACTAAGTAACGTAGCTTTGTAGTGTTTCATTTACATGTGTATTGGAGAAATAGGCTTGAATTTTACGTAGAGAACTATGTAGATTGTCAGCTTGTGGTCAGAATTAATTTTGTAATTCGTTATTAGATTATTTCGTAGTACACCAGTGCATGTATTAATGCGTTATAATATAATTTCATCATGCATGAATTGAGTTTGGAAAATGGTTGAAGTATGTAAGATTAGTTACTATAGACGTATGGGGGGCCCCGAGTGGCTGAGTAGTCTAAAGCACTGTCCCTTACGAATCACTGCCTGGGTGAGTTCGAATCTAGGATTCGGCGAATGTAGATCTATCATTTAGATATGTGAGAAGGCTTGCCAGTAGCTTCTAGTGGGTCGGTGGTTCTTTCCGGTGATTTCCCAGTTTCTTCCTCCACCATTAATACTGGCGCTATGTATAGCCTATCATGTGCTGAAAATGGCGGTAAGCCCCACAACAACAACAAATCAACAACAACAACAAAAAAAACAACTATAAAGTATGTATATATCAGAACACCGTTCTGGTGGCCTAGTGGTTAGAGCGTCCGTCCCGGATGCAGAAGGTCGTGGGTTCGATCACAGGCCGAGTCATACCATAAAAATGGTACTAACAGCTGCTTCGCTTGGCGCTCAGCATTAAAAGGTTAGTGTTAGGACTGGTCGGCTTGGTGTCAGGATTATGTGATTGGGTGGGACATCATGCTACATGTCTTCGAAATGATGATCCAGTGCTAAACATCGCTATAAACTGCCACACTGCAGATATTGTAGCGATATGATTGAAAAATTGTTAAAGCTACCATAAAAATCCAAATCACACACTTATATATCAGAGCATTATATATATATATATATATATATATATATATATATATATATATATATATATATATATATATATATATATATATATATATATATATATATATATATATATATATATATTAATATTGGGGTACTTTGAGTTGCTGATTATTGTGATTTTGTTTAGTAATGGGACTAGGAGCATGTACTGATATGACGCAATTTATTCATGTATGTATGATAAGTAATTGATACCGTGCTTTTATTATGATGTTTTACCATAAAGGAACTTATATCGATGTAAATGAATGCGTGACCAATGAAATTTATTAGCCGTTATCTGATGAAAGGCTGGGTTTAGTGGGAGATGAGAGGGCTAGGAAAAATTATTGTCCCGTCCATGTGTATTCACAGCAAACATTTTAGGGGACAGAAGTTCCGGTTCCGTTGAATCCCTAGTCTCCAAGAGGGGAGACAGAAGTGAGACTAGAGAGAAGACGGAGTCGATAAAAAAAAAGTCTAGTCAGGGAGAGAAGGTGGATAGAAGGTGGAGGAGGAGGAAATATAGTCTGGTGGAGAAAGTAAAAAAGAAGGAGGAATTTGAAGAAAGTCAGGGAGGAAGAGAAAGAATATATATCTTTGCATTACAACTCATATATTATTTGCAGTTTGCTTCTGTCTATCATCTAGATTTACAACGGTAGATGCTAAAGTTTAGAACTTGATAGATACGGTTTTTATTAATTCAATCATTTTGGGAAAAAGGTAGACTATTCGGGTTATCTTGGCTTATATCTTGCGGTAAACCACTCATCATCCCTTATTTTGTGTTTCTTTTAAAAATCATAGTGAATGAAAGCCCACCTGAATTTTGAATTAATTTCTGGGACAATGAAAACATAGTTCTGGACCATCTTGCATACCTAATTTACCTGTGCAATTCCACACTACTTTCACAATCCCAATAAAAGACATCTAAAAATAAATTACGACTCCTTCCTAATTAGTACAATGTAAAATTTGGTCCCTATTATTAATATTTCAAAGCGAAAGACATAGCCAAAAAAGGTACTAATTTCAGCATTCCTTTTTTCCAAACTCAAATCTGTAACATTATTGAATTCCATCCACAAGGTCATGTCTTTTATTCAGTTACAACTAGAACATGATCTCGAAAGATTCGGTGTACTACAATCTAACTTTCATTATCAATCAAACCTGACTAGCCAAATCTATGTATGCCCTATTTTATATTCACCCACGTATCGACTGGTTTATTTTATTCCATATTATTAGTATCGCGAGTCCTAAACATTTATGTGATGTGATGTGATATAATTATGATTTTTAACATAGCTTTAACAGTTTTTCAGTCATATCGTTACGATATATGCAATGTGGCAGTTTATAGTGATGTCTAGCATTGGGTCATCATGCCACAAACACGTAGCATGATGTCCCACCCAATCACATTATCCTGACACCAGGCCGACTAGTCCTAATACTAGTCTTTTAATGCTGAGCGTCAAACGAGGAAGCTGTTAGTACCATTTTTGTAGGTCTGACTCGACCGGCGATCGAACCCACGACCCCCCGCATTCGAGGCGGACGCTCTAACCACTAGCCCACCGGAGCGGTTCTAAAAGTTTATGCAGATAATTCAAACGCTTCAAAAGAGGTTTAATAAAACTCCACCAAAGAAGCTGATTCGCAGGCAGTTCTAGATAAAAAATGATCTTGTTCATGATTTGGACTGACAATACGCAATATTAATAGGTAATTCGGGTTTAGGCACGAAAATCCTGCAAATTGACAGACTGTGACACAAGTTTATAGAGTAAATAAAGATGCAAAATCCTGCAAATTGACTGACTGTGACACTAGTTGAAAGAGTAAATAAAGAGGCAAAATCCTGCAAATTGACAAACTGTGACACTAGTTTATAGAGCAAATAAAGAGGCAAAATCCTGCAAATTGACAGACTGTGGCACTAGTTTAAAGAGTAAATAAAGAGGCAAAATCCTGCAAATTGACAAACTGTAACACTAGTTTATAGAGCAAATAAAGAGGCAAAATCCTGCAAATTGACAGACGACTGTGACACTAGTTTATAGAGTAAAAAAAGAGCCACGTTAATTTGAATTTACATTTAGTGACAGGCTTTATTTAATACCTAGATAGCTTTGCATAAAAGTAAGGCTCCGGGTTTATTCCTTAGTCGTCTCTTTTCTCTTTTTTCTTTTTTCTTCTATCCAAATATAGCAATATTCAATTTAGCAAACAATACTCTTTAGGTCACACTGTACATAATCATTGTATAAATCTTGTCTTCATTATATGTACTAAATCCTTGGTCACTGAAACAGTTATGAAAGCTTCGAACTCATTAATTAGTATAGCAGGTAGGTACCGAAATCGGACAATTACATTCACAATAGTAATATTGGCCTTATTACTATTTTGTAACAAAAAATGGTATGCATAATATTATACTATCCACCAATTGTATTCACTTATTGGGGAATTTTTAAAAATAGTTTATAGAATTTAATAATGATAATAATAATAATAATAATAATAATAATAATAATAATAATAATAATAATAATAATAATAATAATAATAATAATAATAATAACAATAATAATAATAACAACAACAATGATCATGATGACGATGATGATGATGATGATGATAAAAAATAAAAATATTAAGAAGAAGAAGAAGAAGAAGAAGAAGAAGAAGAAGAAGAAGAAGAAGAAGAAGAAGAAGAAGAAGAAGAAGAAGAATAACAACAATAATAACAACAATAATAACAACAATAATAACAGCAACAATAACAACGGTTAGTGCCTTTACTCCAGTTGGCGCATTGAAGGATGTACTTTGTACGTTACTGTAACCATAGTTACATAGTTAGACTAAGTATAATTGATGCCTTTACTTTTAAGTGTTAATTAAGACTTAATTTCCATTTATGTTCGCTCAATTGTGATTAAAATCTAATCCAGTTGTTCTATTTATGTATTAATTTGTCGATTCTGTACGAGTTGATAGACAATAATTTAGTTATGGAACCATCTTTACAGCGACCTCTCAAAAAGGTCATGTTATGACGGAAAAAATTAACATCAGAAACTCTATTAAAATCGGCTTTCCTATCAGTCAGAGAATATCATAAGTGCCCTGATTTTCCAGTGTACTGTTTGTCCTGTAGCAAAAGCGCTTCTCCACCCAGCCCCGCCCTCCAAATATCTGATCAAAATATACTTGTGTTGAAATCTCCAAATCACTATCAACCAGAAGCCTCAAACTGCTCGAGATAGTAGGACTGTCAGGAGAGATTTTTTTTATTTTATTTTATTTTATTTTCGATGCAAAATGCCCAGTCGTCCAAGTTTCTTTGTCTGACCCTATATGTACAACTGGTCGATTTTGTGCTTCTAAAGTGTTGCCAAAAGTTGTAGATAACTATCGAATCACCATTACGCAATCCAGCACTCGAGAAATCCACGACAACGCACCTGCCATCACGACAAAATGTGCTGAAGAAGCGCATTATTGAAACTTTGTCACATCCTTCATAGAGCCCAGATTTAGCTCCATACTGACTTTTGGCTTAATCTTGCCATAAAAAAAAAAACAGCTGAGGGACACATGATATGAAATCCGACACGAGGTGAAAAGTGCAGTTTCATTTTGTGTGAACAACATGTCAAACAGTAATAAAATGGCAGTTACTAACTAGATGATCTGACCTAAATAATACTAAGATGTGCTTGGAAAGCACTTTTAGAGTATGTGCTGATGTATTGCTCAATAACAAAGAACATTGATGTACGACGCATTACTATTCAGAGCTTTTGTAAACACTCTTCGGACAAGTATTTGTATGCTAATAGTATAGAGCGACATCTATTGGAAATACATTTATTGTGTTGGTGATGGTATGTCCTTCTATGGGAATTTATTATAGGGACGGGATACTATGTCCGTCGATGGGAATTTAACATCACATTCGGGAAAGTATGGCATTTAATATCATGGAATGGGCATCTGTCTGAATTACGATTACCTTTGGAATATTATGTCAATTTATAGGAATTTAACATTACTAATATGATTCTGTACCCATCCATAAAAAATGAACCTTTTTTATTGGACCACTTTCGGGACTATATGGGAATTTGATAGTAGCATTTTAAAGATCCCTACATGAATTTAACATTAATTGGATGGTTATGACTTCAACAAAATTTAACCATAGTGGTTTTAGGCTAGCATGGATCCCTACGGAAATTAATGTTCCCGGGATTAATGTTCCCGGAATTAATGTTCCCGGGATCTATCGGATCCAACAGGATTTTTAACCATTTGTGGATTATAGGATGGTTCTAAAATAAAAGTGATGGGAGGGTATTGGGATCTTTTGTAATTTAATATTACAGATGAGACATAAACCTAAGAGAATTCCACATTATGCGTGATACAGTGGGGTTTATGGCAATACCAGATTATCTAATACATATTATGGCCGATCAACATTTATTCTAAATGACCAAGATATATTCTGACCTATTTTAACTAAACAACAAAACGTATAGTAACTGAAGAACATCGATTTTGACAGGCAAAACGTATTTTGCTGGACCAAAACATATTTTAACTGACACAACCTAGTTTGACTGATGATAGCTATGTGTAAACAACACGTATTCTAATAATATCCAATAACAAAAACAGTTTTCTAAAAATCACACTTCCTACTTGCTCAATACATTGAAAATCCTAGTCATTTTTGAAGAGTACTAAAAGATTGACCTTATTCCATGAATTCAAATGTACCATTGTATAAATTTTGTTAGAAGCATACTCCCATGCTCTAACATAGCATAATGAGTCGTGAACATTGAAGTAAAAAGTATAAAGAACGTTATTCTTTTCGATTGCTGTTTCTGCTCTGACTTTTCACCGAGACATCAGAAAATCCTTTGTGAAAAATATATACTCTCGAGTTTTAGTTCGGCTTAAGTTGTCGTGTGTTTATAAACATCATGCAGAAGGCACATAGATGATTTCAATCGTTCCTTCTTTTCTGAGTTTACATAGTTATTGGGGAGTGAGTATTGCTACATTTTGTGATAAACAAACTCTAAAATTCTAAATTAGGCGCACTATGTCGTATTATTCCTAAACCTGAAGCACAACATATACTGTTGTTTTCATCTCGTAGGAACTTCAAAATTACAGCTAGGATAGGTCTATGTGCATATTTTATCCGTGTGAATAAATAGGATGGAGAGAGGGAATAAGACACATCTAATTAAATACAGTGTTCAAAATGCAAACCTGACTCACATACTAGCCGGCACTTACATGTTTTACAATCTAACACCTACACATACATACAGGACTATCACCTATTCTTAGTGACACACACGTTACTGAATACAAACATTTACACCTACAAAGAAATTATGCTGGAAGTAAGATTTTGTGATGGCCACTAACACACATATTACTATCCAATATCTATCTTTACTATGCAATATATTACCCTTACCATTCAACACTCACCCTGACACACAGAATAGATGAGGAAAAGGAGTTACGTGAGGGTCACTATCGCATATAAGTACGTTCCAAGATGAAGAATTACAAGCAAAACGAGATCGCTAGAGTGGCCTAAGTGGTTAGAGCGGCCGCCTCGGACGCGGGAGGTCTCGGGTTCGTACCCCGGCTGAGGTATAGAAAAAAGACTAACACATAGGCGATCAGCATAAATAGATTAGTGTTAGTGCTAGGACTGTTCGGTCTGGTATCATGATAATGTAACTGGGTGGGCCATGATGCTATATGCCTGTGGCACCATGTCTAAGTGCTAGACACCACTATAAACTCCCACACTGCCAACATCATAGCAATAAGACTGAACGTTTTTAAAAGCTACGTAAAACATTCCAAAACAAAAACACACACACACATAACACGGATGAATATAAGGGACGTTATACGTTGCTCACCTGTATACATATTTAAAATGCAACATCAACCTTTAGCATCCATCACCCACCGTTACAAACAAAACCGACGTTGGAAATAAGTGTTATGTGTAATTATAATCAAACACCCACTTGTACAACTCAAAATCCAAATGTAATATCCAACATCCACGCTTACAATAAAACGGAATGGAGAGCTATTTTATGACTATCATCATACAACTATCTTCCTGTGATGTAAATAATTATTGTGGGAATAACTTTACTTTATACTTGAATCAAATTATTATATATGGAAAACAACTTTATAAAAATGATATCATCGTGCATTGGGAAGGCACGAATAATCTTTGTAGATTTCTTGGCGTTAACAAGATGAACGTGTTACCGTTGATACACACTCAGACAGATGATGGATCTGATTACACAATAACACAAACGGCATGATTCATATTCTAAATCACCTGTAAGATATTCCTAAATAAAATCACTCATCAAAATCACGAAAACACCTATATCGTACGAACGCATCCTGTGATGTACCTACGCGTGATTTGAATTCAAGTATCGGAAAATGACAAAACCTGTATAAAATACACCCACCAAGAACAGTGCTTGTCTACCTCATAGGGTGCACACACACACACACACACACACACACACACACACACACACACACCACACAACACACACACACACACACACACACGGGTGAAGCTTTGTAAATGTACTGAATCAAAACATGAATATTATGTGACTGCGAATATTTGAAATAAAGAATAATTTGTATATTGTGCATTAGATAAAGTATATTTGGTAGCACTCCGCTATCCATGGCGGACATATAAATGGATATGATGAACAATTTACAGTCGAAGGAAATAGATGCAGAATAAGGAAACATAATCTGAACAAAGTTCAAGACCAAGATGAAATAAAGCATTTTAGAGTCATTTAGTACAGAAATGGGTAGATTAGAATATGTTACAAACTTATACTGATCGAAAGCTACTTTGAGTTACCATACCTTTGGAGGAACTTGTATAGGTAAATTTGTGTCCGGATTCAAAACATTTACTTAAGCAAATAAATGCATTTATAGCCATCGCCTGACAGAGTTGATAGAAAACACGTGACAGGGTTGAAGCCATCACATGACAGCAGTGACAGCCATCACATGACAGCAGTGATATCCAACACATGACAGCAGTGATATCCAACACATAAATTGCTCTTAGCCAACAAATCACAGTATTATGACCACTTTGATAGCGATCACATGACAGCGTTAATAATGTGACAGCAGTGATAGACGATAAATAACTGCGTTGATAACCAATACATAACAGCGTTAATAGCCATCATATGATAGTATTGATAGGCAGCACATGATAGCATTGATAGCCGTCAGGTCACAGTACCGACAGCCAATAAATGACACCATTGATAGCCATCAGGTCACAGTACCGACAGCCAATACATGACACCATTGATAGCCATCAGGTCACAGTACCGACAGCCAATACATGACACCATTGATAGCCATCAGGTCACAGTACCGACAGCCAATAAATGACATCATTGATAGCCATCAGGTCACAGTACCTACAGCCAATAAATGACATCATTGATAGCCATCAGGTCACAGTACCTACAGCCAATAAATGACATCATTGATAGCCATCAGGTCACAGTACCGACAGCCAATACATGACACCATTGATAGCCATCAGGTCACAGTACCGACAGCCAATACATGACACCATTGATAGCCATCAGGTCACAGTACCGACAGCCAATAAATGACATTATTGATAGCCATCAGGTCACAGTACCGACAGCCAATAAATGACATCATTGATAGCCATCAGGTCACAGTACCTACAGCCAATAAATGACATCATTGATAGCCATCAGGTCACAGTACCTACAGCCAATAAATGACATCATTGATAGCCATCAGGTCACAGTACCTACAGCCAATAAATGACACCATTGATAGCCATCAGGTCACAGTACCTACAGCCAATAAATGACACCATTGATAGCCATCAGGTCACAGTACCTACAGCCAATAAATGACACCATTGAAAGCCATCAGGTCACAGTTCCGACAGCCAATAAATGACATCATTGATAGCCATCAGGTCACAGTACCTACAGCCAATAAATGACATCATTGATAGCCATCAGGTCACAGTACCTACAGCCAATAAATGACATCATTGATAGCCATCAGGTCACAGTACCTACAGCCAATAAATGACATCATTGATAGCCATCAGGTCACAGTACCGACAGCCAATACATGACACCATTGATAGCCATCAGGTCACAGTACCGACAGCCAATACATGACACCATTGATAGCCATCAGGTCACAGTACCGACAGCCAATAAATGACATTATTGATAGCCATCAGGTCACAGTACCGACAGCCAATAAATGACATCATTGATAGCCATCAGGTCACAGTACCTACAGCCAATAAATGACATCATTGATAGCCATCAGGTCACAGTACCTACAGCCAATAAATGACATCATTGATAGCCATCAGGTCACAGTACCTACAGCCAATAAATGACACCATTGATAGCCATCAGGTCACAGTACCTACAGCCAATAAATGACACCATTGATAGCCATCAGGTCACAGTACCTACAGCCAATAAATGACACCATTGAAAGCCATCAGGTCACAGTTCCGACAGCCAATAAATGACATCATTGATAGCCATCAGGTCACAGTACCTACAGCCAATAAATGACATCATTGATAGCCATCAGGTCACAGTACCTACAGCCAATAAATGACATCATTGATAGCCATCAGGTCACAGTACCGACAGCCAATAAATGACATCATTGATAGCCATCAGGTCACAGTACCTACAGCCAATAAATGACATCATTGATAGCCATCAGGTCACAGTACCGACAGCCAATAAATGACATCATTGATAGCCATCAGGTCACAGTACCGACAGCCAATAAATGACATCATTGATAGCCATCAGGTCACTGTACCGACAGCCAATAAATGACATTATTGATAGCCATCAGGTCACAGTACCGACAGCCAATACATGACACCATTGATAGCCATCAGGTCACAGTACCGACAGCCAATAAATGACATCATTGATAGCCATCAGGTCACAGTACCGACAGCCAATAAATGACACCATTGATAGCTATCTGGTCACAGTACCTACAGCCAATAAATGACACCATTGATAGCCATCAGGTCACAGTACCGACAGCCAATAAATGACACCATTGATAGCCATCAGGTCACAGTACCGACAGCCAATAAATGACATCATTGATAGCCATCAGGTCACAGTATCTACAGCCAATACATGACACCATTGATAGCCATCAGGTCACAGTACCTACAGCCAATAAATGACATCATTGATAGCCATCAGGTCACAGTACCTACAGCCAATAAATGACACCATTGATAGCTATCAGGTCACAGTACCTACAGCCAATAAATGACACCATTGTTAGCCATCAGGTCACAGTACCGACAGCCAATAAATGACACCATTGATAGCCATCCGATGACAGCGTTGATAACCATTATATGACAGTATTGATAGCCAATATGTGACAAACTTGATAACCATCACATGATGGTGTTGATATATATCACATGAGAGCGTTGTTAACCATCACTTAACAGCGGTGATAACCAACATATGATTGCATCGATAGCCAGCAGAAAAGAACGTTGATAGAGCACAAAGGACTGTATTGACCGCCAACACATAAATCCGTTGAATGTTAAAACATGACAACATTAATAGCCATCACAAAACGGAGCTGATAGATAGCCAATGACTGCATTGATTTGCTGTCACATGAGAGAATCGATACATGATAGCGTTGATAGTGAATACATGACAACATTGATAGCCAAAATTTGACAGATGTTATAGCCATCGCATGATGTCAATACATGATAACGTTGATAACCATCACATGACAGCTTTAACAGTCAACACATTATTGCTTTGATATACAACAAAAGACAGCGCTGATAGCCATTACACAACAGCATTGACAGCCAGAATATGACTGCATAGATAGTCTACATTTGACGGCATTAACAGTCAATACATGACAGCGTTGATAGTCATCACATGGCAGTGATGATAGCCATCACGTGACATAATTGATAGCTAGTCTTTTAGCTCTTAAAGCATCTTTGCTAGCCAAGATTCTGATATGTTAATCTATCAACACCTTAGCAGATCGATCAGATATTTCATTGCTTGTCCTAGCGACACCAATTAGATTTTATGTGTTGCCTCGTTTAGAATGTAAAAAATGCCAACTAATCAATTGCGTGTTAAAGTGGCGCAGTGTACATCAGCTGAAAATGGTGGAGGTAACTGATTTTAGAAGGATACTTTGTAAGTTTACCATCAAAAGCATGATTTCGTAATATAGAAAAGCCATTACAGGCGCGTTAGAGGGAAAGGATGTATTCGCGCAAACACGAACCGGCAGTTGAAAATCGCATGGGTCCATTCCAGTTGCACACTCCCTTACTCAATCGTGAATAGTTATTAGATTAGAATAATTTGATTCTGATTGTATGTGGTAGCTTTCCGCAGCATCCAATAAATTTCACCTACCCGAAACACTGAAATATTTGATCGATCCGCCAAGGTGTAGCTATGTTAAAATATCGGAACCCAGGCTAGCGATTTTGCTCGCAAAATATTGAA